AATAAATATAGATGAGGAGTATTAATATTCGAAATTTACCTCGTCACAAGGGTCAAATGCAAGTACTTTTGGGATTGGATTTTTTCCTAGGGGTAGTTTTGAGGGTGGGGAGTTCCATTTACTCACCATTTTTTTGGGGAATGATCGCGGTCATTAACAGAAAAGTAATTGATGGGATATTTCTATTTTTTTCCGGAAACGTCGGGGGTTAAGGGTCAAATGGAAGGGTGAGGAGTTCAATACGTTCACTATTCTTCTGGGGAATGACCGTGGTCATTAACAGAAAATTAATTAATGGGATATTTCACGTTTTTTTCGGAAACGTCGGGGGTTAAAGGTCAAATACAAGTACTTTTGGGGTTGCATTTTTTTCCTAGGGGTTGTTTTGAGGGTGGGGAGTTCAATACGTTGAGTATTTTTCTGGGGAATAAACGGGATGATTAACAGAAAATTAATTAATTGGATATTTCACTTTTTTTTTCGGAAACATCGGGGGTTAATGGTCAAATGCAAATACTTTTGGGGTCGAATTTTTTCCTAGGGGTAGTTTTGAGGGTGGGGAGTTGAATACGTAGAATATTTTTCTGGGGAATGAACGCTACCCCTAGGAAAAAATCCACCCCCAAAAGTACTTGCACTTGACCCTTAATCCCCGTCGTTTTCGGAAAAAGACGCAAAATATATAATTAATTAAGTTTCTATTAATGACCACGTTCATTTTCCAGAAAAATATTGAACGTATTAAACTCCGCACCCTCAAATCTACCCCTAGGAAAAAATTCAACCGCAAAAGTACTTGCATTTGACCCTTACACGGATGAAAAAATCGTATAGAAATTTTCTATACGGATTACGTATAGAAATTCTATAGGATTTCCGTATATGAAATTCGGATATTTCTATACGAATATTTTCTATACGAATTATTTCTACACATAAATTTTTACATCAATATTTGTTTTCATACGAAAAATGTCTAAACGCTCCAGAGAAAAACGTAAAAAAATGTCGCAACTCCATACGAAATGTTTCTATACATGTGGCAGAGGGTCGTATAGGATCAAACCTATAGAAATCGTATAGAAATAATTTGTATAAAAAATATCCGTATAGAAATATCCGAATATTATATACGAAAATCCTATAGAAATTCTATACGCAATCCGTATAGAAAATTTTTATACGATTTTTTCATACGTGTAACCCTCGTCGTTTCCGAAAAAAACGTGAAATATCCAATTCATTAATTAATTGTTAATTACCGCGCTCATTCCCCACGAAACAATTGATTAATTTTGACTCTCCTCCCTCAAAACTGCCCCCCCCCAAAAAAGTCCAACCCCGAAAGTACTTGCACTTGACCATTAACCCCCATCGTTTCCGGAAAAAAAGTGAAACATCCAATTAATTAATTTTCTCTTTATGACCGCGGTAATTCCCCAGAAAAATGGTGAGTAAATCGAACTCCCCACCCTCAAAACTACCCCTAGGAAAAAATCCACCCCCAAAAGTACTTGCACTTGACCTTTAACCCCTGTCCTTTCCGGAAAAAACGTGAAATATGGAATTAATTGATTAATTGTTAATTACCGCGTTGATTCCCCACGAAAAAATTGATTAATTTCGACTCTCCACCCTCAAAAGTACCCCTAGAAAAAAATCCACCCCCAAAAGTACTTGCACTTGACCCTTTAATCCTTGTCGTTTCCGGAAAAAATGGTAAATATGGAATTAATTAATTAATTGTTAATTACCGCGCTCATCTCCCAGGAAAAAATGGATTAATTTCGACTCTCTACCCTCAAAACTACCCCTAGGAAAAAATCCAACCCCAAAAGTACCTGCACTTGACCCTTAACCCCCGCCGTTTCCGGAAAAAACGTGAAATAGTTAATAATTTCGGCTCTCCACCCTCAAGATTACATCTAGGAAAAAATCCACCCCTAAAAGTACTTCCACTTGACCCTTAACCCCCGTCGTTTTCGGAAAAAACGTGAAATATGGAATTCATTAATTAATTGTTAATTACCGCGATCATCCCCCAGAAAAATATTGAATAATCCGAACTCCCCACCCTCAAAACTACCCCTTGGAAAAATTCCGAACCCTCAAAGTACTTGTGTTCAACCCCTACCGCCGTAATTTCTGAAATTAACACGAAATATCCGAAGATTAAGTCATTCTTAATTAATGTGTAAATTCCCTAGAAAAAAATTGTATAATTTGGACTGTCCACCCCTTGAATAACCCCCCGAAAGAAATTCCACCCACCCCCGACTCTGCACACCCCAAAAATCAGCCTCCAACCGGAGCTATATTTTCCAGCCTCGTAATGGGTCGTCTGAGTGCGGGCCGTATAGTCCGCCCCAAAAACTAATGCAACTTCTGCTGGGCGTGCGTCTGCTAACTTCAGCCTCATAAAAATCAATCGAACCAATTACGCAGCCGAAGAAAAATGCAGTCTCTTCCTGGCCGATCAACAGTGTGGAGACATTCCTGGGACAAACAGAAATATCGCAGTAACAGAATCGAGCGGTGAGACTCAGAAGCGCTCGCGAAATAATCGAGTCATTGGAGTGGAGGCTAATGACTCGGTTATTTGATTCAAGGGGATCACCCACATGAGCTGAGCAGCAGGCAGCTAATCAACACTGTCCTCATCGAGCATACGCGACCCAGCAAGCGAACGTCGCGGGAGATGTACGCCAAGAGAAACAATTATGAGGAGAAAATTCTTATAAAATTCCAACATCTACGGACAGCTTCAACATTATGGCCATTCGATCCAGGAGGATTAGCGACATTGGTGACCCTTCACGTACACGAGTACCCGAGTGCGTAACAATTACTCAAACGGATTAATTACGGAATGAGTTCTGAAGGAATATTGTCACAGAAAGTCAACAGAAAAGGCAATGCTCCTCGAGTACTGAGCGATAAGACGTATGCAACTTGATTCAGAAGATGCTCTGTATTCCCGTCCAGGTACAACGACGATGGATTCACATCAACTGCCAAGAGACAACAAGATTCTTCCCACTGCCAATCAATCGGGAGATTGATGTTTGAATAAGTAGGGGAGGGATACTCATGTGACAGGTAGAAAACAAAATTTTTCTTATTTACAATTCATTGCAGACAGAAACAATCTCTCAATATCATTGTAGAATATTGATAACATTGTCGAACGGAAACTTTTGTAGAAGATGAAAATTCTGGAGAGATTCTTTTGGGTTCTGTTGAAATTTCGGAAAGTAAAAATTCTATTTCGACTTCACGAAAAGAACACTACCAATGTCAATTATCTACAATTAAAGACAAAACATAGGGAAAATTACAGCCCGAAAATATAGAAAATTTCTCGTATTACTAGTGGGAAGGAAAACGAAATGGTCAAATAACTTTCTTTTATATGTGACTTTTATGATTATGACAACATCTATCAAAGAATTAGACTTTTGGGAGTTGAGATTTGAGAACATGAACCCTAGAGATCTAGTATTGAAGATAAATTATTAACACAACAAAAGAATAGAAGATGAATTCCGATAATATTTTGATTTAGACAAATCTACTAGGAAATAATTTTTAAAGGAAAAATAAATAGAGGAAGTAACAACCAGAATTCCCAAGAGTGGTACTCTCTTGCGAGAAGCTGTCTTAAAAAATAGATCTATGGAATCTGCTTGCATTCTATTGTACTATTAATTTTTTTCATAATATTTGTGAGGGTTCGGTCGTCAGGGCTTAAGATAACAGAATGTAGCGTGGCTCATAAAGCACCCAATTTCTGTGAACTTATTTGAAATTCGAATTTGGAATGTATTGAATCCATTAACTGTGAAAGTGTATTGTGAAAATGCTAAATTGTGATTTATCATGACCTTTGGAAATTTGAAGTGTGAAATTTTGAAAACAAATATTAGAGACTTTCTTCCAGGAGTAAGAAAAATTTAATTGTGGAAGCGTCACGTATGGAGATATCCACACGTGGATTTTGTTCAATTTATATTTTCTGATGAAAATAAGGCAAACTGTCTGGACTGAATAAGCAGTCCCACGGTGACACTTGAGTCCAGCTTCTTAGAATGGAGCTGTTTGACTGTTGTAGCCATTGTCAGTGATGACATATGGCTGTGTTAGCTATGAAAAACCGTGAGAATGCTTATTAAGCATTTCGAGCTAGTAACGATATTCAAGCTCTAAATCAAGGCAGAGTACGGGAGGAGTTGGACTTGAACGGATGTCCACTCCTCGCCAAAAATCTCAGCACCGCGCGCGATAACGAGTCCATTATTACTTTGATTTTATATTGAATTATTAGCTTCAGTGTATTATATTGATCCATTTAATAATCTGTGTTTGGTTATTGGGACGACACCCTTATCAATCCTTTCCCGAACTCCCCCAAATGGGCGAACTCCCCGTGAGCTTGTACCGAGACTAGCTAGGCATAGTCTTCAAGTCAAAAGGCGACTTGATTAAGGGAGGACGAAAACCTCCCACGTCACAGCTGTAACTCAACAACAAAATGAACGACCCCCATCATATTCTGATAGAATCAAGAAGGTATTGTTATCAATTTTTTGAGTTATGACCATTTCCATTTTGATGTCAATTTTTTCGAGTCTATATGAAAAATTGAAATGTAATTGTTGTCAATGAGTAGAGCTTACGGAAGTCTATATCCATGGAAAAATTTCTGAATTTCGATTGATCTTTGATAAAAGAAAATATCAAAAAAATAATTAAGAAAAAAGACCACATACATACATACATACATACACCATTTAAAATTTGCATACTCAAACGATGTGTGGTTATCCTGACCAAAAAAACCAAAAAGAAACAATCTTCAATAACTCCACCAATAATTAAGTTACCATAGTTTTCGATCAAAAATGGAAAAAAAAAACTTTCAAAATTTGGAAGCAATTTTGCATATACAGAATTGACGAATTCGCTCTTAGATGATATGGAAATTGTATTGGGGTATTTACCTCTTTTTTTTTTTTCTCCTCCAATGCCTTCTGGCGATCCTCCTGTTCTTTCTTAGCTAGAAATTTCTTAATATTGTCGGATAACGTTTTAGACTGTTTCGACTCTTTCTTCGGGGGTGTGAATTTCGCTGGATAGGAATACGAACTTTTCTGGATAAATTAATGAAAAGAAAGTCATTAATGGTTGCTTTCAGGTCATTGTCGTGTGCGCTGAATACCTTCCCTGGTGGAAAAAACTCCTTAAAACTCCTTAATTGGAAATAATAACGTTATTGCCGGTGACCCATTATTTCCGATTCAGGTTAGTAGCGCAGTGCTGACACGTATGGAAAAATCCAATGGGAAAACCTAGCGAATTCTCTAGAAAATTCTATTGGGATTCTGGAGAAAATCTATCGGATTTCTATGAGATTTCTATTAGAATTCTATTGAAAAATTCTATTAGTTTTTTGCGCTGATTCTATTGCATATTTCATACGGAAAAGTCAATAGATTTTGAATTTCTTTCTCCAGAATCCCAATAGAATTTTCTAGCTAATTCGCTAGGTTTTTTTAATGGATTTTTCCATCCGTGTCAGCATTGCGCTACTAACCTGAATCGGAAATAATGGATCAACGGCAATAACGTCATTATTTCTAATTACCCTTTTTTCTTCCAATAGGATTTAAGGAGTTTTTTCCACCAGGGTTCGTCCCATATTGACGATAATAATAGAATAATTATCAACTGACCTGTTTATTCGCGCTGTTTTTCTGCGCAACAGTGAGTAATTCACCAAAATCCATGATGGTTTTAGTGGTGTGATAATCTTTATTACAAATACGAGTTGTTTATCGGTGTCAGAACTCCACTCCTTTCTCGTTCATATTACACATTGTAGAATGATCAAGACTCCGGTCATCAACTCTCCACCGGTTCCATCATTCTCAAGAGGTTAAATACGATGTAGTGCTTCTATTCATTGTCCAGTACCCACACTTTTCAGGTAGTTATGGCAGTGAAGTCATTGGCACTGACAGAGAGATGATAATTTTCATTCTATGGAAATCTGTGCTTTTTTTCTCTTTCCTTTGGGTGGACAATGGAAAATGATCCTGCAAAGAACAAGGCAGAACATAGAAAGTAAACCACTTGTAACGGGACCAAGGTTACTAGATACCCAGGTTGGGACAACGCATGTTCCAATTAGAGATGCAAAATGACCGTCATTTTTTAAATCGCGTCATATGACCAAAAAAGGACGGTCACGTGACGCACAAATTTTCCAACTACAAATGATTGTCACAAATCATTTGTAACCAAACTGTTGTCAAACCATCTATATAGTTGCATAATGACGGTCATAACTAATTTCCAATTTGTGACGGTCATGAATAAAACAAAAGAGTTTCATCTACATGCAAAGAGGATTGACTAAAGTAGAGGCTCAGACAAAGAGGATAGACCTGAGTAGAGGCCCGGATCGGGGGGTTTGACTGACTCCAAAAATGTTAGTTGGTACCCCACGGGAAAGGCGGCGTCCCGGTCGAATTGTCGGTAAATGTGAGTCGGGTGCGTGAGTAACTCGGCAGTAGCAGTCCTGCTGTGACAGGGACAGGTTCGGAGGGAGATTTTTGTCCTCCTTGTACTCAATGTGTACTTTATGTTTTTCAGTTGATTTATTCGCCGAATAATTAATATTAGGGGATGAAACAAAGACTGTTCAATGGAGAATTAAATTCTCCATCCATCAACCCCCGTTTCATCCCTTAATCTCTGCAATAAAAAAATTCATATTGCGACGAAAGTCGCGGCGCTATAAGAAACCCAATGTTTTCTCGGCGCAGAGTGACTCCCCAATAATTCGCCCGCTAATTAAAAAATCGTCTCTCCCCTCCTAATTAACATTAAGGAATGAAACCAATGCTGTTCGATGGAGAATTAAATTTCCGATCCTTCAACC